AGATATCAAAAAAGTACTCCAGAGTGTTGTTCAGCATGGGGGTGAGTAGAAAATGAAGGCTAATCATGTTTTGGGTGTACTATTCCTTTAATAATCTGCTTCTTCATCAGGTTCAGATCAGGAACGTGTTTTTTCTCCCGACCCAGAGCCATATTTTGACCTACAGCTGTCCCGTCGCATCCTGTTGTATCATACATCCTGTCATCCTTTAGTGCTGGCAGTAGGATGCAGCACATATTCTATCAGTCTGTTGTTGTGATCAGGACGTCTTCCGCCATCTTCTGGCATAGCAGCATCAAAGCCATGAGTATATCGGTTCAATTTGGTGCAAAATAATGTAATTTTCTCATGCATTGCAGCCATAGCACGAATATATCGGGATGTTAGATTTTTTTCATATCGTCCAGACATACATTTGAGGTCAGAAACAAACAGAAAGTCTGGGGTTAAAATCGCAATTCAATACTAATCGCACTTTTTTTAAATTGTCTTTGCAGTGTTTTTTTTCTCTCCCGCTGCCTCTAACCTCCCCCCCCCCGTTTGTCGGTGCAGGTGATGACCTGGATGGTGCCATGTGAATGACCAGAGACCATGAAGCCCACACACAAACTGCTGTTTGTCCTGTGTGCCTTGCTGGTTCTGGTCTTTATTTACTACGCCTCCATGAAGCTGCACCTCTACGGTCTCTGGGGTCAGAAGCCTCGTAAGTCTCCGCTTTTGCTTTACACTTGCTGCTCTTGTACGCTTATGCGCCCGTCTCTGTGCTTTCCCTGCGGGGCGCTGGCATGTTTCTGTCTGTTTTTGCCTTGAAGGGCTCGGTCTGGGTGTCGTTTTATAGAAACGGAGACCGTACGGCGTTGATCTTTACTCGGCTTTCTGCTGAGACACGATTAGCCTGAGCTAAAGCCACCTGCATGTTCTGTACTTCTTACACAGGAAGCTTCTCTATCTCTGTGACCCTGAAAGATGAGGTAAAGTGATGTTATCAGTGTATCATACTCTGAGGCGAGGCTTCCTCTTCCTGCTGAGAGGCGGCGGAGTGACGGCCTGGGGTTTAGAGACAGCAGGGCGATCTACTCTCAGATAGGTGACCGCTTCCGACCGCAGAGGGTCACTCTGGGCCAAATGGTGTGATGCATGACTACAGTGGCTCTTGCGGTGATGCAACAGGAACTGAAATATAAATATGCTTTCCTTTGAGCTGCTTGGCTGATTTCTGAACTCAGGTTTTGTAACTCTGCGGCTCTTTGCTGATGTTAATTATTCATTTTTTGTTTCTTTCAATCATAAACAGATATCTGTTCTGTTTATATCCACAGCTTTAGCACTTTTATATGAATAAATAATTTATCTCTGTAATTTTTTATTTATTGTTCATAAACAAACGGCTCTGAATTTACAGGTTTCCTGCGGGTCCTTAAAAAGTCTTGAAAGGCATTGAATTCTTCAAAATAAAACTAAGGCCTTAATTGGTATTAAAATGTCTTAAAATAGTCTTTCGTAGGTCTTAATTTTTAAAACGTCATGCATAGGATTTAGGGCTGCAACTAACAATTATTATAAAA